TACAAATAGATACAAAACCAATTTAAAACTTGGAAAGAATTCTGCCGTGGTACTGCTTTCCTTATTAGCTACCTTCTTTTTTATTTTCAGCCCGGAGACCAGAAATAAATTTTTTTTTAGGGCATAACAGAAAAAGAGTAAAACAGTAAAAGATTAAGTGAAAAAAATAGTGCAGGTAACAGTGAAAGATTACATCATACAGCCAGGTGATCTGCCCTACCTGTGACGTTCTACGGTGTAAACTACAATGTTATATATACAGGTTGTAATTAATATTATCTACATCAATACAGACTACAATAATGAGCCCCTATTTTTTGCACCACGACAAAACCAACATAGTGCACACAGTCTGATCAGGAGCCCTGCTGTTCGCTATCAGATTCTCTACTTGTAAAAGGGTTGGTAAGCGAACAGCATGGATCCTGATCAGACTGCGCGGATGTGCAAACGCACTATGTTGGTTTTTTCGTGGCGCAGCTCATATATATTATATACATGTGTAAACAGTTATAAACCATCACTCACTTGAGTTCAGATTAAATTACACAAAATTGGCACAGATCCCCGGTTTTATTTTATCTGAGGGGTCGCAAGATATGGTCAAAAGGTAATTAACTAATTAATATTCTAAAGGTATGGTAGAAGGACATTTTACTAGTTTTCAAGAGGGGCTTCACAAGTCAAAATTTTGCTGATTTTCATTAGTTTTTGTGTGATTTTCACTAAAAAAGCATAAGTTGTTATCAAAATTGCAGGGACAGAGAGTTCCACGTACATATGAAACCTCAGGAGGGTCATGACCCCCTTACCCTCTCTCAGGATCTGTGCATGAAATAAATTCAGGTCCTCTCACAATAATGAAACAAGCAGTTCAGAAATAATCTAAAGCACTGATGAATCAAACACTTCTTAGTTTTCAAAATAGAAAAAAGCACAGAGGAAACAAGACTTATAACAAGAATAAATATAACTTTGATAATTGCTCCCCTATGTCACTTTCACAAAGCTAAAATCATGGTGTAAGTAATTGGAAACAAGATTTATCAATGAATGGTCCCAAACCTGCATGTTTCTCAAAGTTCATCAAGCCATTGCTCAACAAATAAAGGCTGTATGAGTAAATATTGTGTAAAAAAACCTATTTTTAGCATTGGCGGCTTCGACCTTGACTTAAGTGAACCCTCACTATAGCCAATGTTAGAAGACCACCCAAGATATGTATGTACTCAACAAATATGAAAGACATTGGTCCATGATAAAAGGTCGTATGAACAAAAGTGTAAAATTTTTATTTTTAGCATTGGTGACCTTGACGTTGACCCCAATAATTCCTAACTCCATACAAAGTTAAAGACCACCCAAGATGACAGAAAAATAGAAGAACAAAGCAGTAACTGTTTGTTTCACTTGAAAAAATAGCAGAGAGCATAATAAAACTTTATGAAAATCATTCAAAATTTGAGTAAGTGTTCACAACAAACAGATACAGATCAAGACATCTTTTATCAGTTCAACAGAGCATTTTTTATCCAGTCCCTTTTAGGTACTGATCTTTAGCAAAATCAATACTATTTGATTTTCACATACAATGAATCAAGACAGAGTGAGCACATTTTGATTGACACTTCAGCATTTTTTGGCATAGCCTGAAAATTTACAAAGTAAAGTTTTTTATAAAAATTGAAAATGTGCCCAATCAATTGGATCTTAAAAATGCCCTGGAATGAATACAAGGAATGAATAATGAAAGTTTTTAATCAAAATGGCATTTTTTTTTTTGGGGATTTTTTAGTCTGATTTTTAAAAACTTTTTAATATAGGGGAATAAGCCGTATGTATGAAAATGAAATAATGATCCAAGCTAATTTTAATTGTGAAAGGGGCAAAGAAAAATATATAAAAGAGATACTAAAAAAAAAGGGGGGTGGGGACAAAAAACAGGTGATTTTTGCTGCTTAAATTTAACCGAAAAATTTCCCTTGTCAGGGGCTCAATTTTTGGGGCATTTCTGGGATGTGTGCTGAAAAGACCCCACTTCCCGTGGGGGTCACCCCCCCGGTTTGTGTCGTGATCCGATTTATTTACTTCCGTTTTTTTGTTTTGCGTACTGTCCCCAATTTTTGGATGTTTTTCGTCTTCCTTTTTCCCTGAACTCTTCAGGGCCTTTTTTTGAAAATTTAAAAAATTGGGCGTTTAAAAATTAACTTCAATAAATCTCGGTCAAGGTAAGTAGTTCCTTGAGCAAGAAACTTTCCACTCATTGATTTCAGGAACGGATTCGTGTGTCTATAAGCTTAAAGCCTTCTACACAATCAAACTAAAATAAATTTCTGTATAAACCAATAAATCTCAGTATTATTAATTTAAAACAGTTTTTCTTTATGATTATTCTTGAAACAAATTTTGCAATTAATATATCTTCCAGGATTAACTAATACATATAATGCATACACTTCTTTAATTGTCTGAAAAGTTAAATAATATTGTCCTGGAAATTCTTTTTCATGAATTTCCTTTCCAACATATTGTCTATGTTATTTTATTTAAACATAAACATAGTAAAGGTCACATGGTGACTTATTTGTTGTCCTGGAAAAGGGCAGAGCTCATGTGCTTTTTATAGTGTATTATTCAAGCCTTAGCCAGCACCTGAGCAGAACCATTAATCTTTTGCAAGCTGGATAGAAAGGTTTATCACATTAAAAATTCTCAAGCTGCAACAGTGATAGGCAAAGGGTTTGAAGCCAGCAACCTTGACCATATGACTATGTAAGCCCCTTATCAAGGGGTTTCAAAGCCAGCAAACTAGACTATGGAGGTCCCTGTATTAAGGGGTTTCAAAACCAGCAAACTTTAATATGGAGGTCCCTGTATTAAGGGGTTTTAAAACCAGCAAACTTTAATATGGAGGTCCCTGTATTAAGGGGTTTCAAAACCAGCAAACTAGACTATAGAGGCCCCTGTTTCAAGGTGTTTCAAAGCCAGCAAACTAGACTATAGAAGCCCCTGCATCAAGGGCTTTCAAAACCAGCAAACTTAAATATGAAGGTCCCTGTTTCAAGGGGTTTCAAAACCAGCAAACTAGACTATGGAGGTTCCCTGTATTAAGGGGTTTCAAAGCCAGCAAACTTGAATTATGGAGGTCCCTGTATTAAGGTCTTTCAAAGGCAGCAACCTTAACCATGCAGCTATTGAGGCCCCTGTATCAACAAGAGGGCCATGATGGCCCTAATGTCGCTCACCTGTATATAGGCCCCCCCCCCCCCCCCCACCACCCCCCCCCCCAACGTTGCAGAGCCAATTTAACCCAAGGGCTTTATTTGCACAAACTTGGTGGACACCCATAAGAAGATGTTTCATGCTAAACATTTAAGCTCTAGCTCATTGGGCTTTTTAAAAGAAGATTTTTTTAAAGTTTTTACTATACACATATAGTTAAAAACAATGACACCCCTGGGGCCGGGCCAGTTTTGACCCCAGGGCTTTTATTTGAACAAACTTTATAGACACTTACTAGAAGATTTTTCATGCTTAATATCTAAACTCTAGCTATTTGGGTTTTTTCAAAGAAGATTTAAAGTTTTTGCTAAACACATATAAAGGAAATCAATGACCCCCGGGGCGGGGCCAATTTTGACCCCTGGGCTTGTATTTGAACAAACTTGGTAGACACCTATTAGAACATGTTTGATGCTCAATATCTTAGCCATAGCTCTTTGAGTTCTTTAAAAGAAGATTTTTTAAGTTTTTACTATATGCATATAGGGAAAATCAATGACCCCCCGGGGCGGGGCAAATTTTCAACCCAGGGCTTTTATTTGAACAAACTTGGTAGACACCCATTAGAACATGTTTCATGCTAAATATCTTAGCTCTAGCTCTTTGGGTTCTTTAAAAGAAGATTTTTTAAGTTTTTACTATATGCATATAGGGGAAATCAATGACCCCCCGGGGCGGGGCCAATTTTGACCCCAGGGCTTTTATTTGAACAAACTTGGTAGACACACACTAGAAGATGTTTCATGCCAAATATCTAAGCTCTAGCTCTTTGGGTTCTTTAAAAGAAGATTTTTTAAGTTTTTACTATATGCATATAGGGAAAATCAATGACCCCCCGGGGCGGGGCCAATTTTGACCCCAGGGCTTTTATTTGAACAAACTTGGTAGACACTCACTAGAACATGTTTCATGCTAAATATCTTAGCTCTAGCTCTTTGGGTTCTTTAAAAGAAGATTTTTTAAGTTTTTACTATATGCATATAGGGAAAATCAATGACCCCCGGGGCGGGGCCAATTTTCACCCCAGGGCTTTTATTTGAACAAACTTGGTAGACACCCATTAGAACATGTTTCATGCTAAATATCTTAGCTCTAGCTCTTTGGGTTCTTTAAAAGAAGATTTTTTAAGTTTTTACTATATGCATATAGGCAAAATCAATGACTCCCCGGGGCGGGGCCAATTTTGACCCCAGGGCTTTTATTTGAACAAACTTGGTAGACACACACTAGAAGATGTTTCATGCCAAATATCTAAGCTCTAGCTCTTATGGTTTTTTAAAAGAAGATATTTAAAGTTTTTTCTTTCGGTTGCCATGGCAACCAGAGTTTTGCATGGAATTAAATTCTTTGAACAATTTTTAAAGGTGACCACCAAAGGAACATTCCTGTGAAGTTTGGATGAAATTGGCTTAGTGGTTTATGAGGAGATGTCATTTTAAGTAAAAGTTTACGGACGGACGGACGGACGACGGACGGACGGACGCCGGACGAAAAGCGATCACAAAAGCTCACCCTGTCACTTTGTGACAGGTGAGCTAAAAATTGGTCATCTGCCCTTACACAGCTGGAACCAGTGCATCGAGTCGAGTTCTCTTAATTCTACTCGTAATAACGAGCAGACAAGTGAAATTTTTTCGATTTCTGAGTCAATCTTAGATATTCAACAGCCTAAGAATAGGGATAAATATATCATTTTGAAAAGAAAGTTAATGATTTACCTCGCTGCCTCTTTCTTTAGCTGTTCATGCTTCATCAGCAATCGTTTATTTTCTTTAAATGTTTTCCGCACTCGGTACCCTCGGAACGCTGACTGGATTTTTAAAGCAGCGATATCTTGTATACCGGTTATTGAAAGCGCCCCCTGTTCTAACATGTACTGAGCCACTTCATGGTGCTCTCCCATTAATGCGTAGTCTAATGGTGTGTACCTATAAAATAAAAATGTGAAATTTAGTGGTTTGAGACCATGACTATGTTAATGATTATAATTGACTTTTAGAATTGTGCATTTTGTAGTTTCTGACATTAATTTCTAAGCTAAAGGTACATGGCATGTTATGATAATAAATATAATTTAAAACTGTGCATTTTGTGACCATTTATTACAAAGGCTGATGCCATACCACTATGAAAAAGTGTGTAAATAAAATATTTAAAATTAAAATGAACTTTGTGATTTATGATCACACCAAGGTGGATGCCTCTCTCTAGTTATTTAAAATCATAATGTCAAAAAAAATGTTTGAAATTATACAATACCTGTCTTCTGTAAACTCCATGTGGTTAGGAAATGTTCTATATTCTATCAGTAACTTGACGGCATCTAGATGACCTTTACTACATGCCCAGTGTAATGCCGTCATACCCTATAATATATAAAATACATATAGAGGATATTGAATGAGTATAGGTTCATCAGTGTTTATTGACAAGCCTCTGGTAGCAAAATATTACTTTATTAAATGAATTTAAATAAATTCGGTAATGAACCTACAAGAATATAGTATTCTATTTATCAAAGACTGTTTTAATTGTAAAAGAGTAATTTTTCATTAACACGCCTATAGTGGAACGCTTCCATTTAGTGCGTCTTTACACTATGTTTGTATAACGCAAATGACGTCACAAAATACCAATTTTACGGAGTCACAAAATCGGCACGGGTATGTGATAAAAATGTGAATGTCATATGGTGACTTTCCAGCTTAACCCAAGATGCACACTCTTATATTTGCCTTATTATCATTATTTCACCAACAGGTAGGGACCTGAGTTACACCACAAGCTTTCTGTAAGCCTGCTGGATATCTTCCTCATGGATACCTTCCTCACATGAAATTCATAATCCCTGGCATGATTGAAACTGTAGAATTTTTCCACATACCTATACATTTCAGATCTGTGTTAAAATCATAGTGATAGCTAATGTAGCCTGTGTTGAAACATTTCATAATTTTAATGTAAAACAAAATGAACACAGTGTTGTTTTTCTTTAGACAAGTCCATTAAATCCTTTTCCAGATGGACAGAAAATGCGTATTTTCCCAAAATCCCCAATAACTACAACAAATCAAAAACATGTATTTATTCTGCTGGAGTAGGGACTCAGAAATCTCCTAATTTCCCAAATTTCACAATTCTATAATTTCCAAATTGGGCAGAGTCAGACCTAATCCAAACAGAGTGAAACAAACACTGTTCAGACTATTGAAATATAAGCAAGAGGTTTTACAAATATACTGATAAAGAAGAAATAAATATCTCACCTCATGGTCATGAGCATTAGGGTCAGCTTTATGTTCCATGAGTACAGACATACAGTTAACATAGCCTCCATATGCTGCACACTGTATCGGGGTTCGTCTGTAAATATAAAATAACATTAACATACCTTCTTTGATAATTTACCATAGTTATTTAACAGTGCCTTTTTTTCAATTTTCAAAACAATCTGTAGCTTTCTGAAGAAGAAAATATAGTGCCGTAAATCAGAAAAGGGGAAAAATCTGAAATCAAATTCCACCATTTGAGAATGGAATTTACCCGCAAATTTTATAAAATTTTCAATTTCAATTCAATTTAATATACAATGTACATGGTACATAGCAGATGCCATTTACTGGGACAGCTTTCTGTCAGTCAATTCAATTTATGAACAAGCTGATATAAGTCAGCTGCTGCTAAGTCATGGCTCTGGTCAAGAATGTGCACAGGGTATTTTAGGAGAAAATATACCTATGTTGGGCTAGTGGAAACATACAGGAGGAAAAAAAACACCTTTATTAGCTCAAACAATATCTCTATTTACTTAGCTTATGAAGGATATGACACAGTTTATTAAGACAATAGTCCTACTATTCTTCCAAGAATTAAGCTCACAAGAGCTGTCAGTTGTACATCTCCATCAACTTTCCTCAGAGCTTGATAGTAAAACAAGGCATTGCATCATATAGAAATTTAAAACAAGGAATATCCTATTAAAAATACTTGACATAGGGTCTTCCAAATTGACCTTCAATGATTTCAGAATAGTAAAGCTAAACATTTTTCAAATAATTTCAAGCAACTTACCCTGAAGAATCTTTAATATTAGGGTCTACACCATATTTGATTAAAGTCTGACATATATATGCATGTCCACCTAGAGCAGCCCTGCAATATATAAAAATTTGATAAATAAATCAATTAACAAAAAAAAAACAATGACTTGTCCATTCTGCAATCTGGACAAAACTATTCACATTTTAAGGGAAAAATTTCAAAGTATGTTCTGACTGAATAGCGAACAGTGCAGACCATGATCTGACAGCAATAATGAGCCAGCCGCTTTTGGTCTGCACTGGTCACATGGGGAGAATTTGTACCTGTAGACAGCAGGCTAAGAGTTAAAGAAGTTGTGGTAGCTGGGCAAGTATAATAATTGGCTCTTGTTGAATTTATACATATAGTGCAGTGTTTTAAGAATTTAACAAGTTTGATTAAAAGAAAAATGATATCTTGTATAAGAAATAAAAATATCTTCATAGGATATAAAAAATATCTTCATAATTCTGACATTTGTTACACTGATTTTCATTGGTCAATCATGACATTTATATTATTCATTAAACAGGACATGGAAAATGTCTTTATATAATCTAATTCATGACATTAAGGTACATGTAGCGTCCAATATCGAAAATACATGGTTATTGAACTGGCATTAGGTACAAATCAGAAGCAAACGTAAATAATTGGTGTACACATACCAATGCAGCGGAGATCTGCCATCATCGTCAAGCATGTCAACCCTTGCTCCATCATCTATCAAAGTCTGTACAACGTCAGTATGGCCCATTTCACAAGCTCGGAACAACGGTGTATGCTTCATAAAATCGGCAGCGTCTATATGAGCCCCGTGATCCAGTAATAACTTCACTGAACGTGCATGTCCAGAAAGAGCAGCAGCATGTAAAGCTACAAAATATAAACTGTGTATTTCACTGATACTTAGTTTATTTTCATTGCAAAAATATATATTATTATACTATGTCTAAACAAGTGAATTACAAGTGTAAATAATTCACTTCAACAAACAACACCATGACAGAACTTCATAGCTCAAAAAAAGAGACAAAATATAATAGTCCATATAAGGTCCAAAGGCAAATTGTATTTTTATGGACAGACTAAAAAATTTTTAAAGCAAAGTCAGAAATATTTTGCTATTATTGGCCAAACCCAGGCAGGGTTCAGTTTTCACTATAATGTCTTCATGACAGACTTTTATGAACTGTATAAAGTAATGTGTAGACCTCTAGATAGAATGGGGCAAAACTTATCATATTTTGTGTGTTTGTGCCAAACAACTAAAGACATTTTTTTAATAATGAAATTAATGTCTTAGCAAAAAAGCAAGTTACATTAATTCAAAAGGCAAATTGTGAATTTTGACACTCTTCACACCATTTGGGTAATGATGCAATTCTAACAATTTGGACAAATATTACGACAAATTGTAATTTCAAGCAATTTGAAATATGTCTGCTTACTAGAAAAGTCATAAGAAGGAAATTAACATTTATAGATGGAACCTTTAAATCAAAACTAACTACATCCTACCTGATCCACCATTTTTGTCCACTTGCTGTATATCGACATTATGTTTAATAAAGACTGAGATAACCTGGTCAGCGCCTTTACCCGCGGCCCACATAAACGCTGTACGCCCTTCAACATCAGCTTCATCAGTGACACTGGCACGAGCCAAAAACATCTCACATGTTTCCTGGGGAAAAATAAGTGAGCTGTGTCACGACAAAACCAACATAATGGGTTTGCGACCAGCATGGATCCAGACCAGCCTGCACATCCGCGCAGTCTGATCAGGATCAATGCTGTTTGCTAGCAGTTTCATTACTTGTTATAGGGTCTGTAGCGAACAGCATGGATCCTGATCAGACTGCGCAGATGCGCAGGCTGGTCTGGATCCATGCTGGTCGCAAACCCATTATGTTGGTTTTGTCATGAAGCGGCTCAAGTATGTTTTATATTACTTTTAACCTTTCAACATGTCATTGAAGAAAAAGTTTCTGTCATTTTGTAATGAATGTTTATCTACCTATTTAACATGATGTGTTATATTCCATATAATCATTATCTGAATTCCTATTGTTGTTTTAGGAACATTATTCAGATTGCAATTGAAGCACATGAATAAAAGAAAATACTGGAAACTTGACAATAGTAAGTCATGTTACAGACTATAAAGCATATGTATTTAAAGTAATCTTGATTATAATGAAAGTAAAATGAGATTAATTATTTCAAATGGCCGAGTTTTTTGCCATACAGTTAAAATAAAAGGATATACATGTATGTCATCCTTTCTGTATAATTGACAAAGAACAACAAAATGTTTTATACAGTCACCTTAATTTACTTAAAGGTCTTGCAAATATGATGAAAAGGTCAAGTACAATGAAAATGATAGATATCTTGATCAGATATATAATATAATCATACTTACATCAAAGTTATTTTGGGCAGCATAATGTAGCGGGGTAGCACCATTTTGATCTGAACTAGAGAAGTCTGCATTATTGTCTAGCAGAAGAGACACTATTTTAGAATGACCTGAAAAATGAAAAAGATATATTAACTACTAAAATAAATTCAGTGATAATTGAAAATGTTTATATGCCACTTCAACCAGTAGACTCATAAATTTGTGTCATAATATGAAATACTATTTTGGTCTGTGTTTGACACAATAATAAAATTTTAGAGCAGAGGGCAACCCTCTATAATGCCAGTATCAAAAGCAAAGGTTGTGTTGCATATTCTAATGGGTGGAATCAGAAACCCACCATGTGCCTCTCATAACTTTAGCACATTTTTTGGTCCTCAGAAAAATCCACCTAAATGGCTTTCCTGGATAACTAACCAGTAATAAACTGGTGGTAGACTACTAAATCCCACATGATATTTAAATCAGCAGTGAGAGACAAATGACCATTAGACTTACAATGTCATAGTTCAATTTTGTCACTAAGAAATTTAGCCTCATCCAGAGATCAAACCTGAAACACTTGGATAACAATTCGGATGAAATCTTTTTGAGCCAAGTGGGGCTCTCATGATTGACATTAAAGCAGCATACCTCAAGATTCATGCTATTTTCATGAAAAAAAATTTCTTAAAGGAAAATTTTGTGAAGTGATCAAAGATATTAATATATCAAATTTACAAATGTCGCCTACAATCCAAGTAAATTACCAGAAAGAGGTAAAAACATGCAAAAATAGCCCTTACTTTGTTAGTTACGCAGTAGAAATATGGAGATGAATACTGCAAAATCAGCCTTTAATCACACATAACATGTAAATTATACCACTTGAATCTTTTATCTTTTTACTTTTCTTAAAAACTTAGTACAATTTTCTAAAATTGGATTTTCTTGAAATATTTTGGCTTATCCGGAGACATGCAGCTTTAAGATTAGAATTCTGCAATATGTCAATTCTAGGCATGTAAAACTTACAGTCCTACAAAATTAAGACTTGCGTTTTTCAATGAATAAAAGAGATTACATACCTAGAACAGCTGCCCAGTGTAGAGGAGTTCTAAACATATTATCTAGTGCCGATACATTGCAATTCTCAACAGCCACCTGTATACCATAGAAAATATATATACTACAAGATATATTTAGATCAGTACACGTCTTTCCGTTTCATAGATTTTTGGTTTAGATTAATATACAAATTTATTTTAGTTTGATTGTGTTGGAAGCTGTAAGTTTATTGAAACACTCTCCGGGTCGATTCCTGGAACTAACTAGTACTAAGCAATGAATTTACAGTTTCTTGCTCAAGGAAACAACGACTTCCCTCTGACAGGGTTTGAACCAACACGATCAGCAATCCCTAGCCGCGACACAATACTGTCCTCGAAGAGTGTAAAAATAGGAGTTTCAAACCTGTGTCATTGCAAAAATGATACCAACTTATGGTTCATGTCAGCTTCAGAGTCAGTCACATCATTTTAAACAAAAAAATTTTTTTTGCTTTATGACTGGAATATGGTTCTTCCCAACTTTGAAGTATAATATGTGCATGCATTCAATAATCATGAAAAAAGACTCTAAAGTTTGTTTGTTTTAATCTCAATTTATTATATTTCAAATAAACAATGAGTGATTTACATTATTATCTCACTTTCAACTATTTTCCTTTCATTTTTTATACAACAAATTTATCATATATCTCATGTGTCTAACAAGCTCACTTCATTATATATTCTATGCATTTGCAAAAGCTCCTATGACCTCCAATCCAGTTTAACTAGCTTATTTCTTACCACAAATGTCCTTCTTATAGCCTAGAAACGTGTAAGGAATGGGAAGGAATCTTTTAATATGCTAAAAATTAAAAGCCTAACTTAATGCTTATCATTAATAACAAAAATATTTTCAAAAAGATAACACAAAATTCCTAGAGATTAATGTAATAAATATTTAACCAATATCTAATTAATTTAGCCTTGAAGTATATGTGCTTATTACTTAATTATTTTCCAGTCTTACAAGCACTTTGTTTGAACACCATGCCCTGGGGTGACTTTGACCCTGGTGACTCTGACCTCCAATCCCGTAACCTCTTAATATGTCTGGTGGGTAGAGCTCATCAAGGTGCACACACATGTGAATTTTTTAGGCTGTAGGAAATTGGCCAATGTGTTATAGTCTGGGTTAAAGTTTGCAAATTCAATTGTAAAATTTAAATCTCATCTGTGAAGAAATGTGTTAAAAGGCCAGTAAGAACCCCGACATAAAGATGGCCAGTCTTATGTGTAAGTAAATACGATACATACCAATCCTTTCACTACATTTGCATTGCCATCAGCTACAGCTAGATGTAGGGCAGTTCTACCTTCAAAATCTTGCCAATTTATAACACTGGGAGTTGTGTCCTGAAATAAATGTTAACAAAATTATATATAGTCATCTGATCAAATCTATCATTTAAATACTGAATATTGGTGAAACTTTAAAACCCCACAAAAAATAAGGTTAAGAACTATCACCAAAAAACTGAGCTGTAATCAAGGAAACAATTAGAACCCTACCTTTAACTGGAAAAAGGCCTTGGATTGAACCTCCACCATATCATACAAGACAAAAACTTTGTCTTTAGCTAGGCAATCACTGCATAAGTTTGTTGTATTTTGTTTGTTTGTTGGATTTTAAGTTGCAACAATACCATAAAGGTAATAGTGACTTTACAGCTTCACTGGCTAAAAATAATCTGCTGCGCTTCTTGCATTACTTAAGAAACATACTGCACCTAAGCTTCTGTAAGCAAGCTGGACAGCTTCCTCACATGAAATAATCTAAAGTCCCTGTCGGGATTCGAACCCACAGTGGTGAGGTGCAAGTGGTTTGAAGTCAACGACCTTAACCACTTGGCCACGGACGCCCCTTGGGGATATGAAATACAGGAAAATACCATACCAGTATAAGTTTCACACAGTTCACTGCCTCCGGATCCCTGCTGCTGGCTGCCCAGTGGAGTGGTGTTTTACCTTCTATATCAGGTATGCCGATGTTTGAATCCTAAAATGACAATTATGAAATTATAATAAATTGACAACTTGCATTACAATTATGCAGAATACATACTAGAGCTGTCATTGATAGTGACAATATCGATGTATCGTTGATATTTTTATGTTGATCAATAATCGATACACATTTTAGAAAATCGCCAATTTTTACCTAATAATTGAATGTCTCTAAATTACAAAAATTCATTCAAAACATATACAAAAGCAAGCGGTTGTGTTTAATACTAGGCTGTAATTGACATATTTCATAGTAGAGATCACAATAAAAGATCAGGAAAAAAATCATGCAAAGGACGTTTATGAACAGGACTCAATATATTTGTATGAACAGAACATGTATTTTACTAAAATCATCTAAAGTGAATTATATATAAGTAATAACGAGTATTTATCAAGATATTGATCACTGATATTTGTCAGCTGATATAGATGTATCGTCAATATGCTTTGAACTGAATCAATAACAGCTCTTTTACATACCAACATACCAATAACAACACTTCTGATTCAGTACATGTATTTGTCAAATAACACATCAGCCATAATTATGAACAAAAATATATTGAAGCAGCATGCTTCCAGTATTGAGAAGTGAAAAAAAGTATCTAACACATTGCAAATGACATTTGCAATCCATGTAAATTACCTTAAAGATGTCAATATACTTACTGCATCAATCACACAGTACAAATATGGTGATAAAATACTGCAAATCAGTCATTAATCACATGTAATATGTAAATCATTACTTGAATCTTGAATTTTTATAACCTTTCTTACAATCTTAACCATTTTTTTCAACTTTGATTTTCTCGAGACTTGCAGCTTTTAAATGCAACATACCTGTTTGATCAGCATTTTCACATGTTCTAAATTACCATATGATGCTGCCCAATGCAATGCTGTCCTCTGAAATATATAAATACTCAAATAACTATCTAGACTACAATGACAAGGAAAAGGAAATTTTCATACATTTTTCTCCTCTTCTGAGAAATTCTAACACTTATAATTATATGCACATACATATATGTAACTACACAATATCAAATATTTGAAAACATATAACTATTCATTCTCTACAAAGATCACTCAAGAGTAGTTTTGGAAATTTGTTCACTTAATTAAGATGTAGATGGGTGGTCTTCAATGCACATGCTCTATATCTAAAGATAAAAATTCTGGATTGGTTTTTCTATAGTCACTTAACTACTAGAGAAATATAAACAAGAAATCTTAAATATCATCAAAATGCATACACTGATAAGATGGTAATCTACCTTATTTCTATCTTGATCATCAATCTCACCCGGCGACAGTTGCCGTAGCAACAGGGTGATACATTTCGGTGACTTATGTCTGGTACACAAATGCAGGGCAGTTTGCCCTTCATTATCCTTCTCATGGCAGTTAGCTCCCTTTGAAAGAAGCAGTTTTAATAATCGAACATTTCCCTGAAATTCAAAATTAAAGCATTAAGATGTTTGATTGTTTATCTGGATTTGAAAGTCGATTTTAACACACGTTTTTGATCACATATTTTGGCAATCAATCCATCTAACCAGGCTACATGGATAACTTACCAATAATTAACAATTTCTTCTCAAGTAAACCTACTACTAAACCTACATGATTTCTGAGTCAGTAGTGATAGACAAATCACCATTAGACTTGATGTCTCTCAGATTAATTGTCACAGAGAAATTATGCCTTGCTCGATGAACAAACCAGCATCCCTGGATTATCAAGCAATTATCATAGTATTGCAAGCAATCCATAGGTCCCCTACCGGTTAGAACCCCATCAAAATCCTGAAGGGCAATTGGCCATTCACTTATGTTTGAAGTTTTGAAAAATAAATACCCTAAGAAATAAAGAACTTATAGTGAAAAGGCCTAAAAACTAGAATCAGAAATCTTGACGAGGTTGCCGACGTTTGTTAAGTATGACAGTTCTCAATACATGTATAATCCCTATAGTCACGATTAAAATGATGTGTATAATTTCCATTCTACCATCTATCCATATTTTAAGTTTCATAAAAAATTTCATCTTTTTTTGACTAAACACAAATATTGTTATATTTGCCATGTTTTAAGCCTATTTGTTGCCATGGCAACCATTTTTTTTCAAAATAGGTGAAAAGAAAAAGACATGCATAATCTCCATACTGCCATCTACCCATATGTCAAGTTTCATAAAAATATTTTCAGTACTTTTTGCATTATCACTAGATCCAGTTTATGTGTTAAATTTGCCATATTTTCAGTCTATTTTCTACTTTTGGCGTTATCGCGGGATCCAGTTTTGTGGACGGACGGACTGACCGACGGACGTTCTAACAGGAGAGTAATAATGTGGCTACTCTATTGTTCTCTCTATTGTTCTTTTTAGCCACACAAAAGAAAATAGCCACATAAAAGCATTACGGAATGAATGACATCAAAGAGAAAGAACAGTTACCTATTGTCCCTCTAGCCACATAATTACTGTCCTGTGAGTGCGGACTGACGGACAGACAGACGGTAAACCTAAAGTCCCCTCCGGTAAACCGATAGGGGACTAATAATCTAATGCTCTCCTTATTGAATTAGGTGGACTGATGAAGAATTTTAGTAGTACAAAATAACTTTTTTAAAAGCCTTATTTCTGGTAACAGATCATAGCCCATGTTCCTATGTATTATTGGGGGGATGTTAATTTTCCAAACTGCCATACAAATGCCACAAGATAGTATTGGGGCAGGTTTGTAAGGAATTTTTGCATGCTTCAAAGGCAATAGTTATTAACATTTCAAAGCATGTGCTTTCTAAAAGGAATAAAAATAATTCTTAGGAATAGAATGTGTATGCTCAACTTCCATTTTATTTGATTACCTTTGTTATTTTTCTAAAACAAAGGAAGCTCTTGCACATGTTCCTTATACAGTACTGGACACGCGAAACCCACACATTTCGCGTATTCGCGGCAAACTCTCATGCTTTATAACGCGAGCGAATTCACGGCAACTTGAGACAATTGCCGCGAATTCAACTCGCGGCGATTTTGCCGTGAACATTTGCCGCGATTCGCGGGGAATAATACATGTTCATTTGTATAATAAATGTAGATCTATTTATAATTGTACTCTGTGAACTTGAAACCAGATATACATGTACAAGTACGAAAATTAATTAGTAGATCCCCGTCCCTAGATTTGCCACTAAAATGCCACCCTTTTCAATGGTGGAGTATTTAGACAATTTTCCACCAATAATGCCACCAAAACGCCACCCAAATCATGAAAATGGTGAAAAATTTGAGCAGGACTGATGTTATATAATTTTCCAGTTAATTCCACCTTTTTTACACTAAATGCCACCAATGAGTGGAAAATTGGTGGAGTATTTAGACAAACTTTCACCATAATGCCACCATTATGCCACCTTAGGGTGGCAAACTCATTTTCCACTAGATGCCACTTGTTTCCACTTATTGCCACCATAATGGTGGAAAATTGGTGGAGTATTTAGACAAATTTCCACCATTATGCCACCATTGAGTGGCAAACTTATTTTCCACCAAATGCCACTTATTTCCACCTTTTGCCACCATAAGGGTGGAAAATTGGTGGAGTATTTAGACACTTTTCCACCATTTTGCCACCAGATAGTGGCAAATTCAGTTTCCACTAAATGCCACCTATTTTCACCCTTTTAGAAATTTTCCACCTTGTGGGTGGCAATAGCTGGAAACTGCTTGAAAGTCACCCTGTACCCTAAATTGGAAACAAACAAATTTTAAAAATAATCCTTTTTAATGTTTCCATATGAAGTTATATATTGTCTCAAAAAATAGCAAAACATTAGTCCATTTATTTTCTTCAGTTTATCTTGCTATTCCTGGACGGTTTGAGTTCAGTCCTTTAGGTTGTCGGCAACTTTTCGAGCGCACAATCTAAAACAAAAAAAAATTATGAATGATTAATACAATAATTAAAAACATAAGCTTACATTTTTATATGACTATTGGATATTTATATATTCAATTTGAGTGCATAGATATGATTAAAACACTTTAAAAAACAGCACTGCAGACGTGGAAGAATCAGACTTTTCTTATTTCTCCAAGGCAGAAAATATACGCAGAATCAAAAATGATATTTTCATTCAGTTCATTAGTTACCTTCCAAGAACTTAAGTTTTGCCTTGTCTGCACAAGAAGGTCTGGCTTTAGACTCTCTGTTCCCTTTCCTCATACCAAACAATGAGCGGCCTTTAATCTCTTCTATATTGAATAGCATTCTGAAGAGCTTTGCTGTACCTTTCTCTTTTGAGGCATATGGCTTCAGTTCTGCCATCACTTGGTCCTAAAATATGATTAACAATATCAAATAAGTAAAGACAGAAAATGATTATCAATATCTAATATGTAAAGACAGAAAATGAAACACTTTTATAAGACCTTGGTATATGTATACAACTCTAAAATTTTTAAATAAGAAAGAAATAAAGAAATACAACTTAAAATTTTCAAGCTAAAATGTACAAAAACTCTAAAATTTGTAAAACAAAATGTAAATGCAAATTAAAGTGTCATAAAGAGTTTGAATTAAAGTAGGTTTGTAAATAGTGACTAATAGCTATATTTATCAAGAACTGAAAAGTGTCTAATTGGGTACTGTGACACTTCTTTCCTATTAATTCTAAAATAACTTTGAATTAACAAGATACCTTTGTAAAGCCACTGAAGATCAAATGTGTTGCTCCAGGCTGCTCCTCATTGCTTTGTGTCTGCAAAATAATAATTCTTATTTAATGCTGTTTCTGTTATGAACTGTCACTCTCCTAATAGCATGTTACTCTAGACTGTCTAGTTATGGTTATATAATTATCTACTGCACCATGAAAGCTGAATTACAACAATGAAGGAATGAAACTTACTAATAAATCAGTTACTGTTAATCTGCTCCACATGACTGTGACACACAAGGAAAATTGTTTATAGCATGAAAGTTGTAGTAATAGGTATCTCAGGTTATCTATAGTTTGATTGATGTAATATTGTACATAATGATATTGTACTTACTGATTAATTTCTATAATTTTTTTCTCAAACTTAAAATTTCTAACATATTGTAATATGAAATTAGGCAAAGCCTATGAACGGGGAAGTCGTTAAAAAAGCCTTTCATTCTTTCCGTTTTAAAGTGTCATTCGATATTATATACACCGCTTCCGTTTTCACTCGGAACACTCGACCATTATTACTAATCCGAAAAGTTGAGATTTGTTCCGTTATCGGAATACCCCGCCTATTATCATTGACATACATTGTAAATGGCGGCGCCCGACTAGAACTGACACTGAAAATTTTATTGATAGGTATAGAATTCTATATATTTTTTAAATGTTTTTTATTTGATTTTCTTTTAAATATTCACGTGTAGTCTATAGCCGGGCAAGCCAAAGCCCGGACCCGCTTCGCGGGCCCGGTCTTTGACTTCCCCGTATTAAGAAATGATGAAGATCTTCCTACATTCTTTTTATTCCTACATTCTTTATATGTACATTGTACATGCAGCTTTCTTTTTAGTCAAGTTACAAACAAAACAAATATAAAACACAATTTTATACAATACCACTTCATATTTTTACTGTCAAAAAACTAAACAGTTACTGCATAAATAACAATAATTATTGTATGTAAAAGTTGTTTACCTGAAACTTGACTGGGAATGATTCTGCTGTTTATCTTCTTGTCTACACATTCACACTTCAGTTAAAACTTCTCATTTATATTTACCACACTAATAAGACTTTAAATGTTTTCTTTGAGAAATCAAAAATATGCACCCTTACATTTTAAACAAAATATCTCCAGAATTGCTACAATATCAATAATTTCCTTTGTGTTTGCAAGCTTTAACTGACCTCAATTCCTTTGAATTCAAACTTTACAACGTGTAACTGCATGGACAGTCCATTATAATTTTAAATTGTGAGGGGTTTTCCAAAAACCATAGCACCCATCATTTTATTTTTTACATTCATTTGAATGTATAACTATATCTAATACCTAAATAGATTGAGTAGAAATAAGCTTTTGAAAGATAAGTTAGCATGCTATTTTAAGACAAATTCTACATAAAAACATGTACATGTATAATGTTGCCTCTCCCAAAATAATCAAATGGAACATTCTGGTCAGCATGAGTAAACTATTAACCCCCATTCATAGATTACTAGATAAGAGGGCAGTAGTTTTATCAGATCTGAGATGTATGCTGTGTTGTTAAATCTTAGAGGATGCAGTATTTACTTAAGCTAGTATTTACTTATCCTGATTGTAAGAAATTTATCAGACATTATGACTTTAAGTTATTTACTTTTCACACATTAATTTTTACAATAGATTTAAAGCCTCTGAAAGCATAGCACAAATTTAATTTAAAGATGTTAGAGACAATAATTTTAAACTCCACATATAACTAAATCTCATTTATGAGAAGTTACAATGCCAAGGAACCATAACTTTTTATTGCATGATTTGGGGTTTATTGCCATTTTTTACTTCTCTATGCTTAATTTTTGTCTTGATCATTAAGCTTAAAAAGTACTGGAGATATTAATTTGAAACTTCACAGATATAGATCTTTTTGAGTAATGTGCTGTGTTTAAGAACCATAACTCTTTGCATACTTTTGGAGTTATTGCCCTTTGCATTTTTCACTTCAATTATTGTTAGCATTACATGAAAAGTGTTAGTACTCACCAGATATCAGTTTAAAGTAATATTGAAGAGACAATTTATTATGTCAATTAGAAGAAAAAACAAAAGTCAAACTTTATTCAAGATTGACATTAAATATCATAGAAGAAGCAACAAACTTTATGCAGAGATATGCATTTTCTGGGCATAGAAGAACATTTCAACTATTCAATTAATGTACAGATTATAACTAAAGAACAAAGTACACTTTAAAAGCCGTAATTTTATTTTACAAGCATAGAATGGAACATAAACATTTTGGCTTGAAAGTCAAATTTTACATCCCTAAAGAAAAGTACTGCCATAAAAAATGGGAAGTTAAGTAACCCCATACTTTTCTAATTTTTCCTGATCATAATTATATGTGTTTAACTCCTGGAAAAGTGATTTTACGTCCAATTTCTGTGTCTTTTCCTGCTACTTTACAGCTGGAATTATCATACCATTACTGTGAGGCAGTGACTTTGTATCAGAATTGTGTTCATGGCATTCTAGTATGTTTAAGAAATATGAGTTTCTGATAAAATTTTCTAACTGTTCAACTTCAATAGATTATATTTTTGATAAAAAGTTCACTTGATGCTTTGGTAGAGTACAAACTATAAACAGATTTATTTCAGTTTGGAGCTTTGACTTAAATAAATCTTAAACCCTGCAATGCACAATTTCTAGATTTCTCAGTTTTATCCACCAATTTTTATACAACCCAGAAAATAGTTAAGAGTTTCCCTTTTCGACTAAAAGTTATTCACAAAATTTTCTAAGTTTTTTTCCACTATTTTGCCACCCAGAAAATAGTTAGAGTTTCACTTTTCCACTAAACATGCTAAAAGCCACTCATTTTCCACCTTCAAAATAAACTAAGTTTCATTTTTCACCAATTTCCACCCTTTTGCCACCATAAAAAAAGTCTATGTTCAAATTTCCACTCAATGCCACCTAAATGCCACCAAAGGATAGTGGCATTTGGTGGCAATTTTTTTCAATACAGTGGAAAAACAGTGGAATTTTGTCATTTTCCAGTTAATGCCACCTTTTTTACACTTAATGCCACCCTTTTCAGTGGAAATAGCTGGCAAGTAGTGGCAAATCTAGGGACGGGTCTACATGAAGTTGTATCAAGAAAATCTTGTAAATTGCTAAAATGCCCTTTCTCTATTTATCTTTGATGCCAACAGCAAATATAAATAACCACGGCGAAATCAAATAACACCGTTAAAAACTTTCCGTGAATGGCGGAATCATGACCTCAATGTATAAATGGGACGCAGTACAAGTATGCGGCTCCATCGGCAGGTAAATAGTGTACATGTACACGTGTAAAACTATTTTTTAGGGGGGGATACATATTGAGTTTAAAGTAGAGATATAGATATAATATATGTGTAAAAAGATATTTAGTTACATAAAAAGATACATAATTGACACGACATTAACTTGTTCATTTCTAAATGTAGTGGAACACCGGGACATTTCGTTCTCTCGGGTGATCATTACTCAATTTATTACACGTCTGTAAAAAATAAGACACGCAAGATTTGTCTCCTATAATTTCTGAATGGCTGATATTTGCACCCCTGTTTTAAAAATGTTAAAATATTTAATTGTTAGTTACCGAAAATTATCGCTGATTGTTGAAATTCCATAGCGCTAAAAGACACAAAAACACTCGCGCATAAAGTAGCAGCCATAAATAAATGAAATATAGTATTTCCATTGTTTAATAATATACACAAAATTTACACAGGAGATGACCTCTAACCAATGACTAGTCAGCTTGTCAAGCTTTGATGTTTACACATACATGTGCCGTTCATCAAAGAAGTGCAGACAATCAATTGACTTCCAACCCTTTTTATATATCAGAAAAAACTGTCATCTCTTTTTGTCAAGAAATGATTACACATATTTAATTGCTCAAAAGAAAAAAAAGTTTGTGGGATAACTATCGTGTCAATTATTGACATATTATTAACCGTAAGTGCATTTTGATTGTGATATTTTATTTACATTTTAATGATCTTGAAGATATGGTGCAATACTTGTGTCTGCTATCAAAACAATAATGCATATGAAAGGATATTTTTTTCGGTCAATTTTATGACAGAATCCCCGCTGCTACCAGAAATGTTTTATTGCATGGGCTTAGTATTTAATCTGTGTCGTCAGTCATAAACAAACGAACATGTACCCCAAAGCACATTAAAATTACCACATGGTAAACTAGTGACCATATAAATGCTTTACAAATATTCATTAATTGAACAAAAAAATTTTTAATCCCGTTTCCACACCTTAATTTGATACGTGCTATTATTAGTTAATTCAACTTAATTGCCGCGCGCATGCAGTACTGCGTGACGTAAGGAAAATATCCTTCCCTGGTTGGTCGCTATTTATGTAAATACTTTAAATAGTAACACCCTAATTTTATGCACAGAATGATCACTCGTTACTTTACATATTAAATGTGTGATTTAACTCCGATTTTATTTTTGTTTTCGAGGGAATTTTTTGGGTCGAATGCCCTGGCTGATTTTGCGGAAATAAAAAAAAATTTGATTTGCATCTTGCTACTCATCACCTACTCATGCACCTGGCATTTTTTACTCGTGAAATTGAAGGTAAAGAATGTCAATTTAAGTGATAAAACTTTTACAATTTTCAACAATCATAATTAGCGTATTAGACGTAATAATTAGTTACACCTGTGAATCGGTGCTAAATGTCGCTTTGCATTGTTCTAAAAATAGAATATGTGCGAAAGTAAACAATGGATTTTAATTACATTTGTATTATTATCAAAATAACAATTGGACAATTTGTTATCGTGCGTTCTCAGATGTAGTACCAATTACCTTTTGTAATTTCAATCTCGTTTTATTGTTAACTAATTTTCACCAGCACCTGATTGCTTTGTTTAGTATACAAAATGTATACGCTGTACATGTTCAAATGCTAAATATTTATAAATATACAAGACGTTTACAAGATTTTTTTAAAGTTTTCAAAATTAAAGACCACAGGAATGACCAAGTAGTATTTTCTAATACAATTATTGCTGAAGATTCGCCGTAAATTACGGCGATACATCGCGGTGATTTTTCGTGAACCGCCATGAAATTCGGCGAACTTGCACGCGGCGATGTTTTACCGCGTAGTGTCCCGTCGCGACATAGACTACACTCGCGGCATAACGCGTCTTTTGCGGGTTTCGCGTGTCCAGTACTGTAACTGACACTCATTTAATTTATACAAAGTACAATACAATGACAGTATATATCAACATCTATGAATAGACCAGTGTTTCATATAATGCGACTCTACTGACCATTTCTTCAATATGTTAAAGGCAGATAAATCTCCGATGTTTAATCTATTCACAGCAGAGTCATTATTATCTTGATGTCTCAGTATCAAGGTTAAACAGCCTTACCTTATGTGCTGCCCAGTGCAGAGCTGTCCGACCACCTTTATCTCTCTGATTGGTTTGAGCCCCGGCTTTAAGAAGAAGTTCAGCACACTCTAGTCTGTCAGCCAGGACACAGAACATTAATGGAGTCCTCCCAAACTGGTCCCCGGAATCTATGATACCACTTCCTGTCTGAGCTGAAATATAATAGCAGTTAATTCACTTACATTGTTCAACACCATGGTATTCAATTAAACAGGTGAAAAATCTTTACTATGGAACAAGCAAATAAAATGACAGAACTGTCATTTTGTTTATACAAGTTCATGAAAGATGTTAAAAACTGGCATGTTTATTATCCATTAATGTTTCATTTGCTGTTAAATGTAATACAGATAAATGTTGCTTATAAAAAAGTCTCAATAAAGAGAGAAATTTTTGTTGTGTGTCCCAAACTGTCTTTCAAAAATACAGGTGTATCAAAATAATAGTGTATTATATAGTGTAATATACATAATATATTAAGTGTAACGAATAAATAGACAACATACAAACAATGAGTCTTGCCAGCCATGCTTTGTCTCCATTTACAGCGGCAGCATGGATCTGTGTCACACCCTCTAACTTCTGTGACGAGGTCTGATCAAATGGACCTGTTCTTGGACTTGGTCCCTGTGAAAAAAAATTAACCAGCTAAATCACTTGAATGAACTTGTCCAGTTAACTTTTTGGGGGGAACAATCCATTATAAATTTTGGGGGATATCAAGATGAATGTTTAAAGTTTGCCATTGTGTATAGAGCTTGTTTAGACAGTATTAGACTGCATGGATTTGCAGGCTGGCCTGGCTCTATACTGGTTTAAATGGATTAATCACTTTAAGCTTCCAGAAAATTGAGGGTTAACAACATTTTTTTTGCCATGATAAATAAAGTTCATTCTTTTGGGCTTTTTAAGGATTAAATATTTATAAATGACAAAAGAATTGTAAGAACCTAAGGCTGTAAGCATAAATGTATACTTTCTTACATGCAAATATTATCCAATTTTGCAATTAAAGAAATAAAATTTTCATAGAAGTTTTCTCCTCATGAAAGTATGACACTAAATAACTGCAGACAGATTCTAAGTGTCTACAAATAATCATCAATGGTAAACAAGAGCACCGCTAGGCGGAGCATTATATGCCCGAAATTGTTTTTTTTTTAGTAAAGATGAAGCATTTGTAAGACATGGGACTAAAATAAAGTATTACCTCCTTCAAATAACAATCCTCCTTTAAAGTTTCAATATTGTGGTCCAAATGGAACTTTAAGTTATGTCCCAGAAACTGTTTTCAATTCTAAGGTAAAAGTGACCATGACCTTTGACCTTGTGACCCCAAAATCATTAGGGGTCTTTTACCCAATATGGACAATCATACTATGAAGTTTAAACACAGTAGGCCAAATGATAGTTAAGTTATATTCCGAAAACTGTTTTCAGTTTTAAGGTAATAGTGACCTTGACCTTGTGACCCCAAAATCAATAGGGGTCTTCTACCCAATATGGACAATCATCCTATGAAGTTTGAATATTGTGGGCTAAATGGAACTAAAGTTATGCTCAAGAAACTGTTTTCAATTTCTAAGTAATAGTGACCTTGACCTTTGACCTTGTGACCTCAAAATCAATAGGGATCTTCTACCCAATATGGGCAATCATCCTATGAAGTTTGAACACTGTGGGCCAAATAGAACTTAAGTTATGCTCCGGAAACTGTTTTCAGTTCTAAATAATAATAGTGACCTTGACCTTTGACCTTGTGACCCCAAAATCTAAAGGTGTCTTCTCCCCAAAATCGTCAATCATCCTATGAAGTTTGAACACTGTGTGCCAAATGGAACTTAAGTTATGCTCCGGAAACTGTTTTCAGTTTTAAGGTCATAGTGACCTTGACCTTTGACCTGTGACCCCAAAATCAATAGGGGTCTTCTACCCAATATGGACAATCATCCTATGAAGTTTAAACACTGCTGGCCAAATGGAACTTAAGCTATGCTCCAGAAACTGTTTTCAGTTTTAAGGTCACAGTGACCTGGACCTTTGACCTTGTGACCCCAAAATCAATAGGGGCATTCTAACAAATATGGACAATTCATCCTATGAAGTTTAAACACTGTGGGCCAAATGGAACTTAAGTTATGCTCCGGAAACTGTTTTCAGTTTTAAGGTCATAGTGACCTTGACCTTTGACCTTATGACCCCAAAATCAATAGGGGTCTTCTACCCAATATGGACAATCATCCTATGAAGTTTGAATATTGTGGGCCCAATGGAACTTAAGTTATGCTCCGGAAACCAAATTGCTAACGTTTTCAGTTTTAAAGTCATAGTGACCTTGACCTTTGACCTTATGACCCCAAAATCAATAGGGGTCTTCTACCCAATATGGACAATCATCCTATGAAGTTTGAATATTGTGGGCCAAATGGAACTTAAGTTATGCTCCGGAAACCAAATTGCTAACGGACGGACGGACAGACGGACGGACAGACAGACGGACGGACGGACGGACGCCAGGGGGTATAACATGATATGTCCGAAATTCTTTGGGGCATATAAAAAAGGTTTGGAGTATAGTTTGTTATTTTGCTTGTTTGTCTTATTGGGTTTTACGTCACACCACAGGTCATATGGCGACGTTCCAGCTTTACTGGTGTAAAAAGACCTCAGGTGCCCCTCCGTGCATTATTTAAGGACGGGCACCTGGGTAGGACAACCAACATTCTGTATGCTAGCTGGATAGCTTCCTCACATGAAGGTTTCCAAAGTCCCTGTCAGGATTCGAACCCACAGCAGTGAGGGGCAAGTGGTTTGAAGTCAACGACCTTAACCACTCGGCCACGGACGCCCCTAGTTTTGTTATCCTGCTGTACTTACTGCTGTGTCATCTGAAACACCGGAGGAATCAAGACCTTGTGTTTTTGTTGATCCACTATCTTTACTCTGAAAAAAAAGAAGAATTTTCATCATCACTCGAAAATTACATGACTAGCATAGTTTAAACGTTAAGAGGTTCTTATGTAAGTTCATTTTTGTGAAAGTTCCAATTGCTCAGCCTCTAATAAAAATTTATAACAAATTTCAAACAACAAAATTATATGCGATACATATATGCATTATATGTTTTAAACAATATTTTTACATACTGTATAGGTAAAGGCATACATCCATTAACAGATAAAATCACATACATGAGCATGTGCTGTTATAACACACAATTAATATTCCTAACTCTGGGCGCCATGTAAAAACAGCTCACTGCAATGACATCACCAGTATTTTCAATACTTGTATGCTAAATAGTAAATTCTTGAAAATTTCCACTTGTCCTTAGACTCCTTACAGACTGCGGGACAACCCGCGCAATATGGACAAATGATTTTGCCACCATTGTTCAAACTAAAGACAGTTCTGCAAAGATGTTAATATCAAAACATGGTAAGTTTTGGCTTATTTTCTCTTTAGAACATACTTTGATAAAATATAGCATTAGCAACATAATTTAAATTTATTCACCTCTTTATAATAAGTTTATTTAGTTTACAGTGAATTTTTTCTTCAAATTTTAGCAACAGCCCATGCCTTTCTTATTGGGAATTTTTAATGCGGTAAATACCAAATATTGGGAAAAATGAAAAAATCCATAAAAATGAAATTTTCATAGATAGATCTTGGACGTTGGGCACATCAACTACAAGTTACAACAGGCACTGACTCAATAGATACAGACAATATTATAATTACTGACAGACGTAGAATTCACAAGTGCTATTTCTGTAATCTGTGCCTTTTTACATTTTCAAAAGCAGTCAAGATGCTTGGTGTTTCTTTCGTTTGTTTCCTTTTTATTTTCTTTGTGAAGTATTTTTTGAGTTGTGTGACATAATTCTTGCAGTTTTATTTATTTATTTATTTATTTACATGATTTTGCAAGTGCAGAGCAATTTCAGCCAGACGCTTTTTCAAGGTCAAACAAAATTATAAGTGTCCATGTGATCGTGAAAGGAAGTCTAAATGCCGTAATCATTTATCCGGTACGGCATTTAGGGGTGTGGATCGTTGGATAAGTGACGATCCGATCCGAACCACGATTCAGCACTTACGATTCACAAATCGAACCACAAATCTTTTATTATCAAGACACCCATAAAAACATATAAAATAGTCATAAAAACATGTTTATTTTAAAAAAAAAAACAGCAACAATACTAAACATTTAATGTATAATCGATATTTCAATATTTATTGTTGATTAAATAATATTGGAACAATTCATTCACATGTTTGACTTAGAAACTGAGAGTTTTTGCGAAATTTAAGGGTTTCTGGCGAACGTGAAATTGCCGATGTTCGGGATCAATTTTCGGAAAGAATCTAAATATTAAAGAAAACTAAAGCTTAAGTGTATTTTTGGTTTGTTGTCCTGGCATTTTGGCACAATATCTTAAATTCTTAATACTCTTATTGAACGTTTTTGTAAGAATGAAACTAAAGCAAAAATGTGCCTAGAAAATGCCGAAAATATTCGACAATCATTCAAAATTACACTCATTTGTAATTTGAGAAAACAGTCTTTAAACTTGCGGCGTAAATAGTCGATAATTTTATCCTTTTGTCTGTAAAATTTGCTAATTTCCAATCAACTGTTGATCTATCGCCTTGTGTTATATCTGGTAATTACATGAACAGCGCGTGTATACATTAGTCTGATCACTATTCAGAAGCCTTATCGCTGATTGGCTAATCGCTTCAGGGGTCGATGTGCATAGGACCGTCCTATCTAGACTGACACGCACTGACGCATTTGTGTATTTGTGGTTGTAAACAATCGGTAATGTTTATGCGTCCCTAGGGAAAATTAAGCGTACGTGGAATCCTTGCCCAGCTGTAATAAACATGCGTACCGGGACACCGAAATAAGCGTGATAAAATATAAACTTTATTTATGTTTTTATTCTTTGGAGGAGTATTTTTGTTTTGTTTTTTGAAACCAATTACATCATGGTACATGGTCTTTATAACCAGCAAATTGTTTTTAGGTTGACTTCATATAATTTATACTCAAATCGTATTTTTCTTGATTTTAAGAGTGTGAGAAACAGTGAATGTAAATAAAAAAAAAAATAGATCGCGATCCACGATCTCTGGGCTTACGAAACTTGATTTTTCACTTTGATTCGTGATTATCCGAGTACTCGGATACTCGCCCCAGCCCTAACGGCATTAATGCTACACCGATCAGCGATGTTTCCACAACATTCTGCCAAATTACAATGACTTTTTATGATTTTTTTTAAGATAACAATTTTTGGGAAATGTCAAGATTTTTAGGGAAAATTTTAACATTTTTATCAATTGGGAAGATGCCAATATTCGGCACAAAATCAGGCAAAAAAAATCACTGGTTTAATAATCTTGTTCAACTAATTGCACTTTGAGTTAAGTCATTGTGCTTTTTTTTAGAGAATATGTTTGCAAAATTTTGAAAATTTGACAAAGTATCCAAAAAACCCTCAGAATCTAAAAACAGCATATTGCAATTGTTTTCCTGATCTATGAATGAAATCTCCATGCAAAGTTTTCATGGGTGAGCTGTCTTTGGGAATATAATGTCTGCAAATTCTGCTTGGTGTCTGGGTTGAAATGCCTTGAAGTGGTGGTGTTGGTACTTTTCACTCAATATCACGGCAATTCACCAGAACACAGTTCAGCCACCTCAATGTTCATGGACAGACTGTCATGCAATTTACCAGTATTATTTGCCTCCACTTTCACACAGAACTGACACTTCAGAGCAGAGGTTCAGTGCCATAGAAAAGATTTCAAGATCAATTACAACAAAACGTCAAAAGTGGCCTGTACTGCCTGGGACGTGAACCTTGGTCGCCCAATTCACAGTCAAAAACTCTACCACCTAAGCTAACCAGATGGCTCCAAATGCCTTGCAGTGCAAGTTGTCTCCCTTTTATACCTGTTTAACTTCTAGGAAACTTGCTTCTAAGCTGAAGTATGGCGTCCCATTCTCAAACAACATACCGCTGAGACTTAGGAGTTTTAAATTTCAAGAAAGTATTAAGCTTTTTTCAGTCCTAATTTACTCTTAGCATATAAACAGCGAAGCTTTTCAAGGATTCTAATAACTTAAAAAGATGAAAGACAAGTTGGTGAGTTATAATTTCAAAGAATTTTACCATTTTGTTGCAATTTTGTCGTCTGAAATGTTCGCAAACATAAGTCCAAACACTGTTTCAATGCACTGATATCAATATAAACTTCTTGCGATATGCTAATATCATACTATAATAAAAATATTATCGAAACGAAAGATAATTTTTGGCATTATTTCATGCGGCCATATTTGCAATGTAACCAAGGACCATTTAAGAGACAGCGTTTGATTGGTTGAATGAGGTAGCCGAGATTGCTATTGATCGTTTTCATTGGTGAATCAATAGCGCACCTGTCTAGTTTCGCACTCTGAATCTTTCAAGCCTTTAAATGGTCGTTTATTCGAACCACTTTTTGATTATATAATTTAATAATATTTCTTCAATAATTATGGTAACAATGCATAGTTTGAGATAAAATTCAACAAATATTTATTTCATTTACATAATTTCTTTGCAAGTTGTTGCATTAGTGTTACCTTAAGTAATGACTAATAAGCATGAAATATATGGAAGCACTAAATGTAAATATGAATACTCACTGGGGACTGCATTATAAATAATTTCATTTGGAAGCTTACTAAATCAAAGTATATAAATGAAATCATTTCACCCTGTCTAGAGACATATAGCCATCCGGTTAGCTCAATAGGTAGAGTGTGCTATGGAAAATTCAGTGTGGCTTTAATACTGCCATGACCTGGAAAACTACCAACACCACCGCCTGTCTTGAGAGCCTATACAATGTAATGTGTTCCTTGTCCTTCGATCACTAGTATACTCTTCTTGGTGGCCTAGGCCTATATATTTCAACTTGAACCTTTACTGTGACAACAGAAAGTAAACTTGTTTACATACACCATGTAAATGCTCTAGATCATATCTTTTCTCTAAAACACTTTATCTTACAGGTGCATAAATTAAGAAGAGCAATAAAAGCTACTGTTAAATATTATGAAGATTTTCTCATTTGTCACATTGCCTCGTCTCAATACTCTCATCATCAAACTCTCTTCAACATAAATCTGAACACTGTCTCGTATTTGAAAAACCCTGATCTGAATTATTAAACAAAATACGCTGAAGAAATTACATATAAACATGATTTTAAATGCAAAAACACAAGCTGTGTCCAAACTACCTAAGTGATATACTTTAAGTCCTATTGTCTTGGTAAAGCTCTCACTGAAAATCTATGAAGGCTCTCAGATAGAAGTTTCTAGATGCTTCAAAGCATGCGAGACAAACAGTTTTGTATTTTTTATCTACAAATTTTATATGGACAGTTTAGGTACAAAGTTTGAAAATGCAATAATTTTGCTACAAAGTTTGGTAATTAATTCCTTGTCTTAAAGCCCAGCGAACACACTCCTAATTTATTTTCCGATTTTGAAGATAATGAAGCAGTCTGACAACAGAAAGTTTGGTACATTGCGTTTACCTTTAATTAAAATGTCAACTGGCCTGCATGTGAAGAGGCTTACATGCCAAGTGATTCAGAGATATAATTATCAATTACAATAGGAATTAGCAATATTGTATATTTTATTATAAACAAATTAAATCTTTAACACTTTCACAAAACAATACAATTATACAAATTAAATTGACAATTCATGATTTCAAGGTACTATACATGTATAACAATAATTCTGAAATCAGCAAAATTACGATAAAAATGGTACATGTACGAGCAACACTTACATGTACATTGTAATAATATAGATTATTGGCTAATTACCCGGTATGTTGGACATGTCTAAGCATCCACACATAAAAATTACCACAAAAACATTGTCTCAAAATTTCACATATAGCTTTTGTCTGAGAATAGTTAGGAATATTTACATGTACAATGTAATGAGATATGCATGCAAAACTTACTCATATCTAAGTGTAATGCATGCACAGTTTAATAGGATAGTCCAGAGTATCCTTCAAACCATCGTCAGATATTCACTATGTATAGTGTACAGAATATATACTGTGCCTTCATACAGTTATGCAAAAAAATTTTAATATGACTGACAGCACTTCTTTATATTGCACAAATAATTTACTGTCACTTCTACACCAGGTTTAGAATCTTCCTTGTTAGCAAATACAAATATTTACATTTGTAGTTTCAGACTGTTAACACTCATTTAACCCTGAAGCTGCAGAATTTCTAAAATGCACTTGTCTATTTGTCATATTTGTAACAGTCCATTATCAATTTTGGGGATATCAACATGAAATTTTTGCAGTTAGCCACTTAAAAGATGTGCAGATCGGCCTGGTTTCATATACTGGTGGCACATGCTATATATACTGGCTTGTATATTTGTTTTAACCATAAATAAATAGGTAAGAAATAGTGGATAATTTTATTTGACTTTTGTCAAAGTTTGAAATATGTTAAATCAACCAAAGCTTTCTAAATATAGTAAAGTAACTTTATGTTTGACTTTTGTTTGACCAGGTACGTATTATATATATGTACCTGGTTTGACTCGAAAAACCAGCAGCATAAAAATTAGCATCTACCTGAACCTATGTTACAGACATCCATACAATCCATAAAAGTTCCCATAAAAAAGATAGGAAAACAAAGACAATCTGTATAGTAAAAATATTGTTGCTTTTTATCTAGCATAAGCATAAAAATACCAACTAAATCTTGAATTTGTAATGATAAAGCATGCCAGTGTTTTATCTTTTACCCCCTGAATTTTAGCAATACTGTGATAAAAGTTCTTATAACTTATACACGTTTGTACATGTCATCTTCCACAAACCAATAAGTACTTGCATCACATGGGGAAACTAAGTCCTGACAATAGTAAAGCTTGAATCCACATTCCCTGGGTTAATAGGTGGATACCTTAACAAATAGGCTACATGAACCCCTCACCACTTTCATAGATTATTTATAGCTATGCATAGATTGAAAAAGCCAAATTACATTTAATATTAAACTGTGAAATATACAAGTAATCTATACAATATAGAACAATAAATAAGTAAATGAGTTACAAACCAACCAGATTTCTTAGAAAATAGCAAAAAGAATTTGAATTGTAATGCTTACAAATGTAAGTTAAAACAAAAATATATTCCAGTTAACATGTTTTTTCCCACTGTAATTCACTTTATATACATATATAAATAACTATTATGAAAAGTAAACTGTCAAAATATAAAAATGCTTTTGTACCAATGCAATTAATGAAAATACTTCTGGTCTATTTGACGTCTTCCTTTAAACAGTTTATTATTTACTACATCTTCCTTCACACTTCTGTTCTTTGATCTTTTTTTTTTAAACAAAGAAATAATGCCGATACTCTGTCAAATTAAATTTTTCGAATAGATACCAATTTTGAGTGCATTGTCGTAAAATAATTCACAGTTCAAGTTCAAATGCGTAATATTATAATCATGAAGACTGATAGACTTGAGTGATCAATTGCAAAGCATTTAAACAATAAACTGTGCATTATAATACTATCATGCAAGAAAAATTAATATCTTTTTTTCATTCTAACATGCTGATAAAGAACATTGAGCACAGTAGTAATTTCTTGATGATATTTGGTTTATTGACATCAGATACATGACAAGTAAGCATTCCTGTTTTATACTGTGCATATATTGTGTATTAATGCATTTGATTGCCCTATCTGTTTGATAGGGAAATAGCATGGAGGATGGTAAAATCATTTATATGTAACATAACGTGATTTGACATAAAAGTAGCTAGCAGTAAGTTCAGCAATTTTCCCGTCCACTGGGGGTGTACAGAGACCTCAGACTGATATCAGGCAGCCAAAGTGTCTCCACTTTTCTTACTTCAATTACAATGGCTTCCTAATTCATGAACCAATCTGCAATTGTTTCTCCTCACATGTTCACAATATAAGTATAATCAATTAAGTGATGATTTTGTAAAAGATGTTCCGCTGGTGTCACAAGCCTAGGCTTTTTCGAACATGTTTTTTCGCAATGTCTTCAAATTTGTCTCTTTCTTCGCGCCACATTTTCGCTGCGTCAACATTGGCTGCACTTTCATCATTAGGTTCTGCAAAACAATAATCATTAATACTATATTGATAAATATTAAATCATTGCTGCAATAAAGTTTAACCCTCAATTTGTGTCATGAAATAGCCCAGCTTTGAATTTTGAATTGATATCAAAATACAATCAAGAGCTGGTTGAACCGGGTGATGCTCCCCAAATAGGTTTTGGACACAGGAAGGTATACCTCTTGTAGTGTCAGAGTTACGTCACAGACAAAGTTCAAAGAGTAAAAACAACCCAAATGTTGTGCACAACACATTGTCTCATTATGGTGATCAATTCTGTGAAAAATCTGACTTCAAATAACAAAGTTATAGGCCGAACATGATTTTGCTGCAAGGTCATGCTGTGACCTTGACCTTCAAGGTAGCGACCCAAATGTTGCGCGCACCACGTCATCCTAATATGTAGATAATTTCTGTGAAATAGTTTTAAAATCTGACTGCAAATAACGAAGTTATTGGCCGGACATGATTTTGCTGCAAGGACATGCTGTGACCTTGACCTTCAAGGTTACGACCTAAATGTTGCGCCCGATATGTCATCTCAATATGGTCATTTCTGTGAAATAGTTTTAAAATCCGACTTCAAATAATGAAGTTATGGACCAGACACTATTTTGCTTCAAGGTCATGCTGAGACCTTGACATTCAAGGTAGTGACCCAAATGTTGCGCGCAACACGTCATCTAAATATGGTGATCATTTCTGTTAAATAGTTTTAAAATCCGACAACAAATAACAAAGGTTTGGGCCGAACATGAATTCGGGACGTACATTTGGACGGACTGACGGACAACCCGACGAATATATGCTCCAATGACCAATCACCATACCAAGTTTGAAGTTCCTAGGCCTAAGCGATCTTTAGTTATTGATCAGAAACTCTTTTTACCTACAAAGTCACTGTGACCTTGACCTTTGACCCCTTGACCCCAAAGTCAAGAGGGGTCATCTGCTGGTCATGACCAATCACCATACCAAGTTTGAAGTTCCTAGGCCTAAATGTTCTTTAGTTATTGATCGGTAACCCTTTTTACATACAAGGTCAATGTGACCTTGACCGCTTGACCCCAAAATCAATAGGGGTCATCTGCTGGTCATGACCAATCACCATACCAAGTTTAAAGTTCCTAGGCCTAAGCGTTCTTTAGTTATTGATCGGAAACCGGACACGAATTCGGGACGTACGTATGGACAGACTGACGGACGGACAACCAGACGACTACATGCTCCTACGAAATTTTTCGGGGAGCATAAAAAAAGGGAGATTAAACTGAGCATTATGACATGCCACAGACAGTTTAAAAGGTGGTAATCATCTCTCAAAATTATTTATGGCCCTGAGGAAATTATTCATTTCAGGGCCGATAATCACTTTCCAACCCATTTCTGATGTGTAATAATGTCCTTAATACATTAATTAAGTAAATCTCGTAGTAGCACTATTTCAATTACTTTGATATTTACTTTTATATATATTTATATACTGTATAGCGCATTATATCTGCGGTGTCAAATGTTGGCGTTTTTTAAAGTGTTTTGAATTGGCGGGGTCATAAATTGGCGCAAACGCTTTTAGACCGCCAAATTAAAACACTTGTTGGCATAAATATGGGGTCATGAATTGGTGATTACAAATAAAGAAAAAAAAATAAATAAAGATAACACCGGTCACGCAGTAGTTGACTGTCCTCGTTTATTTTACGGCATACGGTATACCTATGCTTGGTCACCTTTATCTTTACATCGTGCTAATTCTGAACGATTTTAATAAAAACATGAACTATTTTTGTTATTATTTGTATCGTGATAAGAGAGATGTTTCTCAAATTCTAAACTAGCCACAAAGCCCGACATCATTGCCAAGTCTTTCTCTAAGGCAGGACTATAAATTTTGTTAAGTAATTAAATGTACAAAGTGTAACATGATTCCATATCTGATTTTTATATGACATTTAGATTTGTTTCTCGTCGTGTGATCATCTTCGTAATAAATACAGTATATAGATATATAATTAAATGAGTTTCGTACCAAGACTTAGAAATAAACAAATTCTTTTCAGCTTACTTGTAATGTTTATTTTTATTACAAATAATCAAGGGAGATTACTGGGACAAACCAAAGCTATTTTACCATGAGTTGTCTACCTTTCAAAGAATAATGGCGATGATCTAACATGGCGGTGCTTTAAATTGGCGGTGTTTTGAATTGGCGCTACTGACCCTGACCGCCAATATAGCCAAATATTAACCCCCGCCAAAATAAGTACTTATACAGTATTTGATATTTGATATTTGATGTGTCCTCATAAAGAATTATTCTAGACAATTTGAGAAAGAATATAGAAAATGTGAGCATGCAAAAGAACACACAAAATGTGAGCATGTAAAGAATATGTACCTGCTAGCATAGAGACAACAGAAAGAAGAATTTTCTCAACACTCTGGACTGGACTCCAACGTTCTGCGCTGGTTTCATACCCCATAGGGTCATCTCCAGGGGCGTGTAGAATAGATATACAGACTCTACCATCTTGATATACTACAAACAGAATAAAAAGCCATTATTTATTTATACTAGTAGATTGCATTCACAGATATTAAATTTTGTTTGTTTTGATTGGGTTTTACGACACAGTATAGGTCATATCGCAACGTTCCAGCTTTACTGGTGGAGGAAGACCTCAGGTGCCCCTCTGTGCATTATTTCAGGCACGAACAGGCACCTGAGTAGAACCATCGACGTTCCGTAATATTTAAAGCTAGCTGGATAGCTTCCTCACATGAAAGAATCCAAGTCCCTGTCGGGATTCGAACCCACAGGGGAGATATTAAATAGGTAAAAGGTAATTTTATCAATGAATCCAATTACATTGTATTTAAAAGGAGCCCAACTGAGGTCCAAACATTAAAAACAAACAACTTGAAATTTAAATATCAAATGGGAAACTAAGAAAATTAATATTGAGAAGAGATAAATATACTCAGAATTAGATCAAAAATCAATTTTTAGTAATAATTTGATTCTAAGCCTGATTCGAGTTAACACCATTTAAAGGACAGGACTGGAAATTATTTTTGAGATCATTCATGTATACTCCATTTGTTGGAGGTCAAGCCCAATAACTTATGAGCAGAATTTCAGATCTTTGCTCACTGAGTCACTCCATTTTTCCAAAATGATTGTTCTTCTAGTGAGAAATGATCTAAAATTGAAAAGCATTACAACGCATTTCACTCAAATTGGGCTAATTTAGCACAAAATATTAAGATTTTCAACTGACATTCCATATGTATTTTTTATATATCTTTCGCATATCTTTCTGCTTTAAGTGCACAAACTGATCTATGTAAGTTATTCATTCTTTATGTTTCAAGGCTTTTGGACCTCAGTGGAGTTCCTTTAAACAGTTTTTATTTGTTTGGGTCGTCAGACCAAACAAATAATGGTAGCGAAATTTCAGAGCCTAATGCTGTTAATTGCAAATGCCTAAAGTAGTGCACTTTTTTGAAGCGGTTACTTCCCTTTATATGTACACTGACGTCGAAAAATTCAGGGGAGATCAATGCGTAAAGATTGTCAAATGACAGGCGCATTAATTTTCAAGCAAAGTAGTTCCCGAATGGTCGAAGATTTCAAATATTGTTTCATTCTTTATAGATATACATGCTTACAGTAAGCTCCATGATTATTTACATCTGTTTTTAGCGTTGAAATAATAAGTTACAAACCCTAATTTAGAATAATATGGTTTTCTTCAGGCTTTTAACATATAACTTCACCTTGGCCGAGGGGTTTACATGCTCGGTTATGAATCGAGAGGTCTCGAGTTCAAATCCCAGTTGGGGCAACTCATTTTTTAATTTTTTTTAAGTCAAATAAACATTGAATTGACTATCAGTGTTGCAATTAGTCTTATAGCCAATTTACTACTGTTAAAACACTGGAAAGCATTGGTGGCACTATACAAAAACAAATTGGTTTATAATCTCACAACCTTCACCTTTCTGACATTCTGAGACCCAAACAAATTCAGCGCCTTCTGTGCTTTGATTTTATTTCTGTTTCATTTTCAAGATATACATGATTATACTCAGGATACATGGAGTGAACTAATGATCTGAAATCCTGCATGCAAGTTACTGGTCCAGAGCTATGTTAAACAGTCTGATGTTAAATGGTGCATAAAGAGATTTTACTGAATTGTTTTGACATGACGGGACAGGAAATATTTTTTCCCAGATTTGTGTACCATTTGACTATTAGGTCTGGACTAATTAATTTATTTGTTGATACTTTTATTGTCATTTTGTTCCTACATGTTCATGTGTATAATCTCTATGTATATATCCACTTCAAACCACTTGCTCCTCAGTGCTGTGGTTCGAATCCTGACAGAGACTTTTCATTCTTTCAAGTAAAGAAGCTACCCAGCTAGCTCACAGAGCGTGGGTGGTTCTACTCAGGTGCCCGTTTCTGCCTGAAATAATGCACCAAAGGGCATGTTAGGTCTTCCTCCACCGCCGGTAAAGCTGGAAAGTCGCCATATGACCTATACTGTGTTGGTGTGACATAACACCTAATCAAACAAACAAACATGTATATGTCTATTCCAAATGATAAGTTTTAGTTTACATTTTAGGTACATATATCACTGCACGTCATCTTAACATGTATAACATGTTCATAGCTTCACTTACTGTTAGGATGGAATAGTTCGCAGGTAAATTTCATTTTTGGAGGTCCTAGAGGATAGTCTGCGGGGAATGTAAGCCTGGCTGGAAAAACACCACCTTCAAAACATGTTCCCTCTGGACCCCTGTAATACAAACAATTATCAGCATTAAAAAAATCATTTTTCTTTATCATTTAAATTTACAAGTGCATATTATATTAGGATGACCCCGACCCTCTTTTACCTATTACACAGTGGATAAACATAGTTACCCAGTTGGGGCCTCAAAAAAAAAGAAGTCCATTTTATACATCAGCAGATTGAATGTTAAAGCTGCATGCCTACAGATGAACCAAAATATTTCAAGAAAATCAAACTTGAGGAATATGTACTAAGATATAAGAAAAGTAAAAAAATTTGAGATTTAAGTAATAATTTACATTTTGTGTGTGATAAATGACTGATTTTGCAGTATTTATCACCATATTTTTACTGTGTGACAAACACAGTAACGGGTGTTTTTGCATATTTTGACCTCTTTTTTGGTAATTCATATATGGATTGTAAATGTAAATTACTACCTTCCTTCTCTTCACAATGTTTTACTAAAACAACATTTCAGGTGACTGACTAATAAGTAACTTTTTGGAAATTACAAAAGTGCACCAAAATAAAAAGTTCTTGTGAAATAAAATTAAAAGTATTTCTTAGGAATAATGGGTATTTAAAGTATTATATATCAATAACTATCAGAAAATGATTTATGTGTCATTAATAATTATTGAAGAAGGAAAAAGAAGCACTATAACTATAAAATTTAAAACATGTAAATAGCAGCAGTAACAGGAGGCATTCATTTTATCCTTTATCCATACCTGCACAAGTACACAAGATCAATATCTTGTAATATTATATACCAAATACTTACTATTACATTTAGGGTATAGAAACTGGAATTATAAAAACTCACATAATTAGAGCTTCCCACTCAAAAAAGTTTTCCTCATTGGCAGGTCCAGCTATTATACCCTCTGGAGGATTTAATGTTAATTCTGAAATACAAGAACAAAATCAAAAATAAATAGAGGAATACATGTACCCATTTGACTGCCTAATATCTGCCTTCTGGCACATTTTTGTTTGTTTCTTGGGTCTTACGTCGCAATAACAGTCAAAAGGCCATATGGCGACTTTCTAGTTTAACTGATCAATGGAGACCTCAGGTGCCTTTCTGTTTCAGGCACAAATGGGCACTTGAGTAGAACCACCAACATTCCACAAGCTTGCTGGATAGCTTCATCGTATGAAAGAATCCAAAGTCCCTATTGGGATTTGAATCCACAGCAAAGAGTTTGAAGTCAACAACCCTAACCACCAAGCCATGGACACCCCTCTTTGGGTCATAATATAACTGAACACGTAACTGCCCACTAGATAAGCAGTCAATTGACACAAGATTGATGATGAATGTAACGATCAATTCCCCTTTATCTAATACTGACTATACATTTTTTTACTGGGGAAGTCAGAGGCTGGGCCTGCAATACAGGCTTGGGCTTTCACCAGCTATTTGATCTGAATCGCTAAAATGTCAAATATTTTTTCTTGCATGGTCCATCATATTTTTAACTCTTTATCTCAATAAAACAATTTTCAGTGGAAATAAATGTAATTTCATCATTAACTATTTTCTTACAATAGCGTATGAATTCATAATGGCGAAATGAAGTCATGCTAAGCAGTAAGCATGCATTTCATACTTAAATATGCCGTAATGACATCATATTAATAAGGTTCATACTTAAAATGCACGGAAATGATGCTATTTGCATTTGACTCATCTAGCATCCATGATGCTAGATGAAATTTCCGGTATGGGTAAAACTATTAGAGACATCAGTCTTGCCAGTCTGATAAATGATATGTAAATAAAAGTTGCGTTTATCTCTAGTTTTGCCTGTCCTATTACATTATGTCCAAGCTAGTATACAAACTACATGTATTCACATATTTTTAGAAAAATGTCATTTGGTATTTCTTCGAAAAAAAAATATATTAATTTATTGCCAATCCGCTTAAGCCTTTAGTATAATATTTTTTTTGTTTTTGGGACCGAAACGGTTTGGGCCGAATAAATTTTATGTATTTTTTTCAGATAGCCAGAGATTTATGATCTTATAATGTATCATATTCATTAACTAAATTGAAACTGAAATCTTTAAGCAATATTCATACGTTTATATTCAGCCATAAGCCGCTTTAATGCTGATCCAGCCATATTAGAAGATAATTAAAAAAATAAATATGCCAGCTTTAACTTTCGTTTATACCGGAAGTGACTATACCTCGGACGAACTAAGCAAAATACTAGACTATATCGTTTTCGTCTTTTGTCGCTTGTTGTGTCGAATAGCAGGAGTAACACTTATTTTGTTTTTCTGAATTAAAAAAATGAAAATAAAAAACACCCGTTTCATCAGAGCTAGATAATACATTCTCAGTACAACATTTGTAAAAGTTATTCAAATTATTTAAATACACTATTTTAAATGAAAAAACTGCTAACGAATATCACCATCATCATTCAAAGGTACGCAACTCATGCATGTCTCCGTATTCATTATTGTACTAGTTAACTCCCCTGGACTGACGCTCTCTCACATCTCCTTTTACAAAATTTCAATAACATAATTATTTAAGCTGCTTTCAGAAAATTGAGTGTTCTTCTATATATTGTCCTATTTATCTATTGAAGAATTTTAGTTGCACATGCTTACATATTACTTTACAGCCTACCTTTTACTTAAAGTTGCAATTTATAAATGTCATAAAAAAGAAATAGCTATCTTTGTTTAATAAAATAGGTTTCATATCGACTCCTGTTCTTTTTTGTGTGTGTGCAGACGAATAATGACAAACTGAGTTTTAGAAGCTATAAGTTTTTAAAGTCAGCAACCTCATTAATTGTGGCGAAATCGAGAGTACATTTCCAATATACATGTGAAACTCCGCCTTTGGGTCATCCGACAGAAAATCAACAGGCAGTCCGAATTTAACAATATATAAAAGTGTAGACTGCTTCGTTTTTTTACACCGACGGCAAAATTTTTCTACATATTTATAAAATGCAGCTTTAAGAACCTATGAAATGACCTTTTGTACTTTCTTTAGACCTGCCTCGACCTCCTGCAGATAAAGAACCCCTGCAGAACCTTATATAAGACCTCCGCTGAGTTAACGACACGGGGATTCATTTAAACAATTTGCAGTTGGTTTATACAACGAACTATCTTATATAAACGTATTAACATCATTAGCAGAATTAGTCGAAACAAAGTTTATGTAAATGTATGTTTTAAAAAAAATACGCGAAAGGGATGTGATATGAATACTTAAATGCATTCAGCTTTTGTTGTTATTAAGTTGTAGACATATTTATATTTTTAAAACTAGTTTTCACAAATTTTTTCACAAATATTCAACTTGATAACATGAAGCGTTCATAGTACTTTTTTTACAACATTTCATTCTTTTTCGCTTAATTATTATCGTTTTACATATCTTCAAGAAGTTCTCTCCACCAAAACAGAAACAGATCAACTCGAAAATGTCCAAAGAAAAGTAGCCTAGATTAAAGTATCTTAATTTCCACTGACTAGAATCACGGCCTTCAATTACAGTCCGTGCTAGAACTCAGCCGCCTAAGATTTATGGTTATTCCTTTTTCACAAGGTTCGCCGTGGACTTTTCTATCAAAGAATCTTCCGAATACCACACCGTGACCACCATCTGAGCTATAGGTTATTCACAATTAATTCATAATTAACTTCTCTTTCTTTTCAAAATGGCCTTAGTTAAGTCATTTTTATAATTGCAGGGAAATACATGTATTATTCAAGTAGAATAAATAAATAAATAAATAAAGCGTTATTTCTATGGAAATATGAATTCACTCAAATTGTACATGGTTATATTTTGAAACATAAAGCAATCGTGGCACACCTTATTATGTAAAGATTTTTTTCAACATGCGTTTACACATTTTAGCAATAGAGCTAAATACATGTAAATAATGTACAAAATATACACCCTTACAAATTATCTTAGAGACCTGAAGTATTCTTCATCATTAAATTAATTCATGTATATTATCAACCATTTTTTAATTCAAAAAGTTTTAAATTAATTCAGTAGTGTTCATGATAGGCATTTATATGTAAAAAGGGAGACAATTGACGATGTCTTAATGCTATGTGTATATTATATTAGTATTCTCCCCTGTTCAGTTGAAGCAACTGACACTGCGAATGTAGGATTGGTAACATCAGACTGAAATATTTGTTTGAATAGAATTTAGCGTCATTTTGTTACTTTTTTAAATCAAATGCCGACGGTCAATTACCTAGCTATAATTGCTATTTCTGGATATATGTACTTTCATATCACCACGTCCACATCATATACTGGGTATATTTTATTAAGGCGCGTTTACAAATAAATTGAAAACATGTTTTAATTCAGACCGGAATAACATGTACCAAGCCAAAAACTTCTCAGATTCTTTCCCATATTCTCAGATCAACATAACAAACGATCACCATGCTGAAATGAAACTTTTTACACAAATGAAATTGATAATGTTTTGGAAAGTTCACTCATAAGATACTACGGGAGCTATATACAGGGTTATATTGTCTCTATGTTAGATTGCGAAAAATGAATTCTATATTCTCTCTGCAACTTTCAGCCCTTTTTGTACTTTTTTTAAATCAATTCAACGATATTTTCTTCTTCAGATATTTAAAGTTATAACTGGAGATGTAAAGTGCGGTTAAACGTTTCATGTAATTTGTCACAGACACTTGAGGTGTGAAGCTCAAAAAAAAAACACGTTAAAATCAAAATAAATTATATATATGTATTTGTCAATTCCAGCACATACTATTATTATATATATTTATATATAAAATTTAAAAATAAAATATATAAAAATTGTTTGTTTGTTGTTTTTTTTTTGTTTTTTTTTTTTTTTGTTTTTTTGTTATTTTTTTTTTGTTGATCTTGTTTTTTATTCTTTAGTTTCATCATTTAACTTCTATATTTAAGACGTTGAAATATGATTTTGTTTTCAAACCAGCATACCCGTTTTATTGATATACAATGTACATGATAAGTTTATGTGCCAGGATTGACAAAATTATAATTTATTTGTATTTTAAGAGCTCCACACCCAAAGTGTCTGTGAATGTTGTTAGATTTTCAGCTCCTTCTGCTAAAACGTTTAGTGCTGAAAAAACTAAAGGGGTTGCTGGTGCAAGAGGTTTGTGTGAGACATGGTGCATCTTTCATTACTAGTGTCTCTCATGAACAAAATATAAAATTATTGTCTGCATTTTTATATATCTTTTTCGTTTATCTGTTTTCAGTGTCCCCGAGTTATGTCCCCTTTTACAGATACCGTATTTAATGATATCATATGATATACCTTTGGAATCTAACAACTTGATTATTACAGAGAGCTGGAGAGTATATTGCTACAAATCGTGCTGTATGGAGAACGGTAAATGAATTCGGAAGAATAAGAATTAGTAAAAAGAATAAAAAGAACAAGAAAGATAAGATAGAACAAGAAAGAATAAGAAAGAAAAAAAGAATAAAAAGATAAAAAAAGAATAAGAAAAGAGATAATACACAAGATGGAAAATAACTATAGATATAGAATTTTATGAGGAACGCTAAAGGAATTAAAAAGAATAAGAATAAGCAAAAAAAAAAAACGGAATCAAAAACGATATTAAGAAAGAAGAATAAGAAACAATATAATGTATGATATGGAAAATAAGTACAGTTTTGAATTAAAATGGTACGCATAATTCTAGAATAGTGTTATTTTACAATTCTTAAATATTCACTAAACAATCGCTCAATATATTATTGTGAATAAATGGTGAATGAATAATCTTTTAAAAATAATAAAGTAAAAAAGATATGAGAAGATATGAAAAGTTGCAAATAAAAAAATCATATGTGCTTTTATTTCTTGCATATTACTATGTAAAAGAATATCTTTCTTGAATGTCATTTTATCTGGCAAAATAGTTACGGCTCACAGGATTTAAGCCTGTTGAAACGTATATACAATTAAAGCATATTAAATAATGTGTTTAAACGGTTGCTCAACACTTTAAAAGTTAACTATTTAATTGAGCAGCCAGTGGTAAAAGAAAAGCAAGATTCAAATTATAATCAATTTTTATATAATTTTTCATATTAACTATGCATATAACCTAGTTAATGCAACTATGCACTGAATTACAGTCTATATCTTTCTCTTTTCTAAATGTCAGTTCACACAAGCGGTAAAAAAGATGAAGAAATTGCATCGTGTACACGTAACATAAACAAAAATTCAAAAATGCAAAAATCTTAAATATGGTTCCGCCTTTTCTATACCAGTAACCTTTGAAACAACGTGTACTTGTCTAAGAAAGAAATGAACTAAATCACTCTTAAACCTGTGTCAACTTTTTCCACCGTCTTTGCACAAAAACAATTCTGCAAAAACTACAACAACAACTAATGCTCCACGTGAGTCACTAAGTAAGCCATAATCTCGTGGCGTATTGCTTGCCTAGTTCGATAAGATATAATTTAAACAATCCATCATACAAACGCCATAAATACAATCTATTCATGACAGGTTATAATGTAAAATAATAATGTTTAATTTACTCCTAAGGTCACGTGACCCGATGACTAATACCGAACCCAATGAAAATCGATGTTACAAAATTTAATTTCTATTTTTGTTAAATGTATTCAGCCAATTAGCATAATATTCTAATTTAAGACTCTAGGTGTCTCCCTTTTAGAATAGGGTTCAGTTGGGGAATGGTAAAATTTGGCCATTAATTGTTTTGCAAGTGTAGATTCTTCAGATAATCAAAAAGCGCGGAAAAAGGAAAATTTCGAACGACAACAACATTTATTTCTTTAATGATATTTTATTTATGACATTATAACGTGCAGCGCGTGGAAATAAAATTATTCATATTGTAACAAAATGTAAATATTTCCTTGTAAATGCCCCACGATCACAGCTGACTCACTCATTCATATTTTCCATCAACTTGCCGGTATGGCAATTAATGTCATGTTCAAATTATATCACAACATGTTAATTAAGGTTGTAGTACAAAAACCTCATTGATAAATTAGGCGCGCGCTCCGCCATTTTGTCTTCATTGACCAATCGGAGTAACGGATTACTTACTGCATTGTCATCAAATTGTAACAGAAAATAATGTGACTCAGAAATTAACATATCTAGACCAAATAAAATTATTTAAATAGTTTAATTTTAA